AACTAATAATTTGTCTAAAAAGAAAATAACCAAAAACAAAGCATGTGAGCTTGATAAATAATGAAGCACAATAAATTATATATATATATATATACACATGTACATATACACATAGATATAGATAATATATATATACATATATATATAGTTACCAGGTAGAACTTAGCAAGATCCAGACAGTCATTTTGTGAGGATGACTATAAGTTACAGTTGAATTTTTTTTTTTTTTTTTTTTTATAATTTTGTTCAAAGTTTAATGTGTGGCTTTTAATGGAAGCATCACTTCTGTCCCAGTTTTTTTGGATGAAGCTTTACTTTTATTGCTTTTATTGTCACTATTTTTTAGGATTCAATCTTTTTTCTTTGTTAGATAATATATATATATATATATTATTATATATGAATAATATCAAAATAAATATATATTATTATGTATAAAAATACAATTAATATTATTTTTTTAAAAAAATAAAATGTATTAGTTATTAAACATATTAAAATTTATTTAAATAAATAAAATATATATTTATCCAATCACCAAAATATATTTAAAATACAGGTTTTGAATCTAAGGTCTACTATCATATATATGTAAATATATATAGATTTAATAGTCCCTACAGAATGGGGCTTTCAATTCAATCGAAGAAGTACATACACAGGAGAGACATTGAGGCATGTACATGATATATATATGCACGTATATATAATATAATGTACATGATATACATATGCACGTATATATATATATATATATATATATATAATTGCAGTACTTGTAATCTTAAACTTTGATTGAAAATGGAGTCTATCCTAGTAATTGTTTACTTCCTCTTTTAAGAAATAATTCATTTACTGACAAATTTTATAATAAACGGACCGAAATTTCCTTTTTTATTATAAAGAATTATATAAATTATTAATTTAATTTATTTTAAATTAATTTTATTAAAATTTTGAAAAAAATAAATTAGAAACGAAATTAAAAATAAATTTTAAAAAAATGAGTAAAAATTTGAATTCGAATGTGTTTTTGAAAGATAATTTAAAAACAGAGGGTTAAAATGTAAAAAAGATAAGTTTGACCATGTAGCACAGCTCAGTCAGCAGTCTCGGCGAACCAGACCACGTCGCGTGGCAACCCTGTTGACATCGACATCATGCGGGAAGCCACACGAGCGATCCGCGTGCCCAACGATCTGATGGTCCAAATTTAATCCCGCGCGCGTGAACAGTCCAAATGTATTCTCTCTTTAAACGCGATCGAACGGTCAGATTTAATCCAATCGTGCAGTCCAGATTCATTCTCCAAATATGATAGATCACGAGATGGATATTTAAACATCGCGTCTGAGATAACCTAACCCTAGCCGCCCAGCCCTCGCCGAAAAAGAAGAACCAAACACTAGAGAATAAGGTCGATCCCCAGCCATCGCCGAACCGGAGCCACTGCTGATCGCCAAAAAGGATAAAATTTTCCTCTCCGCGCTCGGAATTCAATTATGAGTCTCCTTGTAGCCATATTGGAGCAAAAGAAATAGTGGGTGAGCCAAAAACCGTGGATAAAGTCCAGCGGAACCGCCGTAACCGAAACTCTAAAACCTATCCGATTAGCCCCTTTTTATTTTTTATTTCACATAATTTTTCTGCCATTGTGTTTACTGTCATTTTTTATGCATGTTAGCCAAAGAAAAAACCCCAACCGCAAAGGATAACCAGTAAAGAAGTCGTACCCGGAGACCCCTCGCTAGTAGGTTCAGTTTTTCTGTGATTTTTTGGACAATCAAGACCCCATAACATGTTTTTCTACATGAATACGTGTAAAATTGGCTAAAATCGACCAAAACTGGCCAGACCAAGGCGAACCGCCGCCATGGGCATTGGAGCCGGCACCGTAGCACGACAGTGTCGCCATGTCGGAACCCCAAAATTGGTTGGAAAGGGTTTTCAATATTGATTTTAGATTTTTGAAGTATTTTTAAGTACGTAACGAGTATTTTAATTCTCGTAGGG